ATACGCAAGGGAGGACCGAGACAAGGTGGAGAATTGTCGTCCAGTTAGTCTCACGAGCATTAGATGCAAAGCGCTAGAGCGAATTATCAGAACCCACTTATGCCAATACCTCTCTCAGCACCGCTTGCTGATTGCTGCACAGCATGGGTTCCTGAAGGGGAAATCCTGTCTCAGCAACCTGTTGCACGTTATAGATGAAGTCACAGTGAGATCGGGTGAGGATAAGCAAGTGGAAGTATGCTATCTGGACTTTAGCAAAGCATTTGACTCAGTATGTCATCACTTACTTTTGGCCAAGATTGATGCTCTAGGGATAAGGTGTAACATCCACAAGTGGCTAACAGCTTTCCTGACTGAGCGGACCTTCCGGGTTCGGGTTGGAGAAGCGAACTCGCCAGTGGAAACGATTGCTAGTGGTGTTCCTCAAGGATCAGTTCTATGTCCACTCCTTTTCCTGTTCTACATCAACACCTTGGCCCGCCTACCTATATATTTGCGGAGGACGTCAAGGTTGTAGGATCAAATGGGAGAGCGGAATTAAGGAGGAACATAAGAGAAGTGCTCAAGTGGTCAAGTACATGAGATCTGCCCCTCAACATAGGAAAGAGCCATGTCTTGACCACTGGAGACGAGGGGCTGATAGTGGGATAGTGGCGGTCTTTCACTAGGAACGACACAGAAAGCTAGAGATTTAGGAATCATAGTGACAGCAGACTACAAATGGGCAGAGCAGTGTGCCAGCAGCTCAGGACAGAGACAGGACACCAGCCCCCAATGGGTTGCGGTTTTCACACACCGTCCCGCTGCTTTGCGAGTCAGGCCTTGGCTAGCCGAAGACTGCGGTTGTGGACCCGGCAGCCCACATGAAAATCATGGAATTTGTACATGTTCCGAAATTGATGCGGGTACTTCGGACAAAGTTTTTGTCGTAGGTATGAAAACTCTGTTATCCAACTGCGTGGTGGTCACAGACAGTCAGTTGTGGAGTACATTAACAACACTGTGTTATTAGTACGGTCACTTTGGGCTTTCCGTTTGTTCCATCCTACGTTGTTCTAAAGGTGACATTTCCTAAACGTTTGGTGTGGTTTGGGGTAACAAGCAGTTTCTGCCCACTTTCTAAATCGAACTGGAGGTGACTAGAACCAACACCCATCAAGTGGTTTCATTTACGGACAGAATACTCCACAATAATTCACAGGATTAAAGACCTTGAACGCGAATGACGATGATCAAATGAAAAGATCTTTCATCCATTTGTCTGAATTTCGTCCGACCTTTTTAACCTTTCATCGGTGTTTAAAAATGCGGTCTCTTAACAGGAAGACTACCATCAAAGAGATCAGTCTCCAGTCGCACGTGATGCATGTCCACTGCGCTTCTAACGGGAAGCCTCAGCAGCCTTACGTTACATAACGTAGTTGTAAGCTAGGGGGTCAAAAGTCTCAGGATGTTTAACTTGGGCAGTGGTGGCCCGGTGGTAACGTCACCAAGTTAAGACCTCGGGTAATGTGTTCGAAGCCCATCACCACCACCACCTGACTTCTCCCATGGCAGCCCTTTAATTGACCGCTTCCCCCTTCCTGAAAATTGTATCATTGTGTATTCAATAAAAAGGAAGTAAAATTAAAAAAAGATATCATCACTCGTCAGACAGCTCATTACCAATCATAACTGTCCATTTCATCATATTTGGCTCCTTTGCAGATGGCATTACCACAATCTGTGCGTCTTTATGCTGAATATGCTTCAAAAGTATTGAACTCTTGGACGGTTTTACGGATTTGCATGAATGAAGGTTCTGGTGGTCCAAGCACCCACCATAAGATAAACACATTGATCGAACAAATGCATGCTATTGCATCCAGATTGAAAGACGAAGATAAGCTTGCCGATTTTCTTGAGGACTATCTAGATGACGAGTTGAACATGATCTGTGAAGATGAATCCATACCCGAGGTGGCCAAACTTCTAATGGACGGATATTTTCTGATACGAAATAACCAGTTGTCGGAACTTCAGTCAAAGATGAACAGCTTGCCTGCACCATGTGACCTTAGTCAGTGTCAAGCCCAGTCGAATGTAGTCGAGTTCGATGGTAACGAAGAAGCTTCTGAGTCAACAGAAGAACAAAGTGAAGATGACATAGAAATGAATGAATGATGAGGAGTTTTCAATACGCCTTTAAAAAAACTATCTGTACAGTGATTTTGATTTGCCATGTAAATAATACTTTTGTGAGGTGATGCATTTGCTTGATTTCTAATGAGATCTTTTTCTTAAAATGTATCCAAGCAAGTTTTGATAACTACAGTGGTAAAACGGACAATAGTCGGGGGAGAGGGTGGGATGGGAAATCAGGCCCATGACAGTCTAACTGATTAAGAAACTTTCGGTTCTAACGAATTGGATAAGGGGGACCCAATGTTTCAAGTTTCTAAAATATATCCACCGAATTTCGCCAATAGGTAACGGTTACGGATTACAGTATGTAGGCGACCCTTGAATCCAACGGTCATTCTTGCCAAGAGTTGCGTGGCTTTAAGGAGAATGTTGTTCAGTGGGTGATGAAATTGCTGTTTAAAGATAGCGCATGTTTGGCGTTGAGGTAAAATCGAATATCGTCAATGGGAAATATGAGGTCATTTAAACGAACGAAGTCCACGAATCGAGTGACACCCGGGTAACGGTGTCCCATGGAGCTTTTTGAGACCAGGGTGAGCATAGGATTCCCCGCTGGGGCTAAGTGACAGTGCATCCGGGGCTGAATACTCCTGACCTGGTCTGTAAATACCATCAAAATGGAAGATGAGGTTTCTTATTTCCACCATTAAATCGCATCGTTCCTTCCTTGTTGCACTCTGTGCATGAAGGGCACAGATCGCTGATCGGTAGCTTGTTTGAAATATTGGCCAAGCTGTCGTCACTTCATCACAGACTCCACAATGGCATATGCTTCTTTTTCAACAGCCAAAACCGTGTCGCTCACTAGGTGTACTTGAGAAGAATGCTACATATATATATATATATATATATATATATCCATCACGACTATACTGCCACTTGACGTGGTGTGATG